TCCATAGCCCAGCTGGGCTACTACACCAAAGCTCCAGCTCTATTTCACCCAGTTCCTTTCTGTGATGCACCAGGCCAAATCTTCCCTGGAAAGAAAGCTTGCAAGGCTCCAACTAAAACATCCTATTAGAGATGATTTTGAAACTCAAGTTACTGAAAAGGAAAAACTGTGACATCTAGTGTCAACAGGAAAAATGACACTTTTCACAAATATACTTCATGTGATCTAAATGGATAGGTAAGAGCAGGGTATTACCCTGCGGGACCCAGTTACACTCATTTTCTCATTGTCTTTGATGCTTAATTCAACCCCCATCAGAAAAGGGCACAGCTCCACTGGCTCCAATAGTGTTGGTCAAAGTTTAGAAAATGCTTTTGAGAAACAGAGGGCTGGCTCCTGTTAAAAAGGGTGACCAGTAATAGCAGTGGCACAGGGAAACCAGCAAGCTTTCGCTGCTAGGATTTCAGATTATTCTTTGGATACTCAGTCTTCAAGAGGTGATTTACGAAACTCCCCGATTCAAACCACTACCTCTGTGCTACGGACCTGATTTTCAGCAGGGCTACACAAATGGAGCAAAGAATGCCTCAGTACCCTCGGGGCACTGCTAGGTACTTCAGGAACCTCCAGCCCTGTGCTAATGCCCCAGCACTATTTGGGGCATCCATGTTCTGCTATGACTGCGTGGCTATAAAACCAGACTACAGAGTCATATGAAAGCCTCAGACACAGCTTTGTTATAGCTCTAGTGTAGCCAGGCTCAAACAAACATGTCAGCCACGCACAAGAAACAGAACGTCCAAGAGTTCCCTACACATCCCTGATCCTGTCTCTTCCAATTCAGTGTATGTTGGGCACCTCCAGCCTCTACTTGCTCTCTCCACAGGTCTTCAGGACTTTGCAGGTCTGAGCCCTAAGAATAACGTGGGTTTTTTTTTAATGTAAAGACTCAAACTAGCAGGAAATAAATTTAGAAAGATCCTATGGCATAATCTAAACAAGCTGAATGCACTTACAATGATTTGACTGACAACCTTAGAAAGTGGACTGTTCTTGTAACTATTTTCTGTCTTCAATGATTTAATTTTTCTATTTAACATAAACGCTCCAAAGCCATGTGTCCATCCACTTTAAAGCTCGTTCCTGAGACACGGAGAGCATCTGCCTGGTAGGTTCCTAGCTTTTGCTATGGCCACAGTTTGAATTAGCAAATCATCATTCTGTCGACAGCCTTGGTTCAAACATAGCAGAGAGGATTTGCTGAAGTTATTCTGGGCTCTTTAGGCCCAAAAGAGTTTTCAATTTTTCGTCATCATGAATTTAGTGCTTGTGTAGCTCCTGCTCTACTGGAACCTCAGGTTTCGGCATCCCGAGTGAGTGCCCTGACCACCACACTGCTGCCAGTTCAGCCCTGATCTCTCAGTCTCCCCTGTTTGTAAAATAACCACGATAGCTTTGAAACTGAAACCTGAATCATCATCTCCTTTATCTTAGATGAATACTCTAGCCATTGGGAATCGGTGTCTCATTCTCTCATCAACCGAATAATTATTTATATGAAGTGGAATAAGCCCAGTAGGACAGATCCGAAGTCCCACCTCAAAGTAGCCGTTAGCTTTGAAGCCCTGATCTGAATCCAGAAGAGAAGGAACTCAAAGGTGAGTTTCCTAAAACCCATGTGACTGCTCTAGCTGCAGGGCTATTAGCTGTCCAGGGGTAAGCAAGGGCCATACTGTACCATCTTTCTCTGGTTTTAGTCAAAAATTCTGTTCTGGATAAAAATGTTAAGTATGCCCTCAGCAGTTTCACTTCAATGAACTGGCATTTTCCAATGCAAAACCATTTTGTTGGAAAATCCCCAATAAGTGCCTATAGTCACCTGCTCTCTGAGACCTCGACTGAGACCAGAGTCCCCAAACTCCTGTCCAGTGATGGTGATTTCCCAGTACTACCAACCAAGTTGGTATTACCAACTAACTCGAAGAAAACAAAGGCTCACTCTCTCTATGACTAATCTCTTCAAAGCTGTTTTGCAGCAGATCTTTGGGGCTGTGGATAGCAAAATCACAGCTTTAATACTCTTCATTCTGTCCTCATTCTCCATACCTTTGAATCCCCTTTATACACTGAGCTGGCTTTGCTCCTCAGTCAACAGGAGATTGTCTTTAGCTATTTCTCCCGCTTGTGTGGCACTGTCACATTATATGGTGCCTAAGATTGATTTAACAACTATACCTTTAATGGTCTTGGCCTCATAACTGGTCAGTATTATTCTATTTTGATGATCAAGAACTTGAAGTGCAGAAAGCCTGACCCAAGTTGCTAAGCAAGCAAACCAAAAACCAGGGTGAGAAGCCAGGAATCTTGCCCACAACCACATTCATTCCTTTAAGACCATATTGTGTCCATTTTAATGAGAGTCACTGTAGAAGACACTTTTTTTTTTTTAATGAAAGAAGTCAATGTGTCCATTTGAGGATAAATAACTCTAAAAACAAATTCAGACAAGGTAAGAGAGAAAATGAAACAAATTTTAAGTATTTGGAAAAGGATCTACCATTTCACCAGTCTTGCTGAAACATCAAATACAGATTTTCCTTTCTTCTATCCCTCATGTCCACTCACCTTCTGCTCAGTCACTACTACAAGCTCCTGGATGAGTGCAAAGACTGTCTACTCCTGTTAGGTAATAACAGTCTGCATAACACCTAAATAGCAATGTCCAGCATCTCTGGATCCACCTTATTGCTGAGAAAAGTGGAATGGCTGCATTTAGAGGTTTCTTTTTAAACATGCCTGCTGGCTTGGCTTTACCCTGCTTGCCTTTACTGTCCTAGAGATGAACCAAACCTCAGCTGCCCCTCCTCTCCCCACATCCAACCATCTTCTTGGTGAGAGGCACTTGAGTGCACGTTCGTGACAAATTTGTTTCTTCAGCTAAAAGAAATTAAACCGTAAAAGCCTAAAGTCAGCTCATCCTGATAAAGTGAGCGCACCACAGAGGAATGCATCTGTCTGACAGCTTGTCACCTCCTCAGTGTCACCTGTCCTTCAGACTTTTGACTGCTCAGCCCTCTCCCTTAGATTGGCCACTCTTGCCCACAGACTGGCCCTATTGTGTGCCCAAGCTATTGGTAACAGAATTCAATACTAATACTTCAAACCTCATTCTGGCCTGTGGAAACTAACTAATCTATCTGAAAACTGGCTCAGCTGACATACTTTACCAGCTGTCCTGAGAGTTAGGCACAAACCTCTCCGGGAAATGAGAGAAATGGAGGAAGATTTCCTTTACTGTCCCTCTTTCTCTGCTGCAGTTGAGAAGAGCTGGCACTGGAATTTCACCTTCAGGGCCAAGGCTCTGCTCGAAGCTACTCCCTTGAGCAAACTTGGGGAACTCGCTAAGGTGCCACTCAGAACATTGCCACATGCTTCCACGCTCGGTCATCCTCAAAGAATATGGACAGCAAAAAGCAGGGATAAACACCCCAAGCCCTAAATCTGTACTTGACCATTATCTTATTTGAACCAGCTGTTATTTATATGGTCACGTCAGTGCTCTTTGTGCTGCTAAATCACTGGTTTCCACAAAAGCCACAAGCGAGTCTTCCAAGGGTTAAAAAAACCTCCCCATTTTTTGTGGTCTTTGGGTACAGAATCTCGTATAATAAGACTATTTGTATTCATACTGGCAGAGTAAACACTACATGTTCATGCCCAGGCAGCTCTGTGCTTGTAATTTCAGCTAGAACAGAGCTCTGTCCCTAAGGGACTTTGCTATTCCCCCAGCCTCCATCCGCTCAAACGCAGAATGAGAGCAGAGAGAAAGAGAAAGAGAAAGATCATGGCAAGAGTCTCCACACAGCACTGCAACCTCAGCTTTCACTCAGTAAGACGCCTCCACCATTTCTGGTTTTAATTACCTTAGTTAAAATATCCATTCTAGGCCCAGCAGCAATGAGGAAACCAACCTGTCCTTAAACCTGCATTTACTGATTAGGTTAGACTCAAAATATATATATATCTGAAACCTTTCCCTGACAAAGGGCTTAGAGAGAGATGTAATAAATAGTGCTGAAATTCTCTGTCTAACGCTTCTTTGCATGTCCTACTCTAAAAAAACCAAATGATTTCTTATCACTATTTTCCTGATGTTTTACATATAGAAACATGACGGTGGCCAGCCTAAACCCGTGTGTCCAATTAAAAGGTGATTGTGAGCTTAATAATCCTATTGAAAATATAAATCACTCCTCCACCTGCTCACATTTAAACAGATTCACTTTTTGCAGTTCACTTAGGCTGGACAATGAAAATGCACTAATCAGGTTTCCTTTTGCTGCTGGTTTATTACCCTGTTAGCTCAATGTTGCAACCTTTAGGTTTCAAACCTAATGATTCCTCCACAGGGTTCAGGAGCAGGGTCTGGATTTCATCATCACAACACAGACTTTTAACACTTGAGCTAAGACCTGAACTCTATTACCCTGGTAGCATAAGTAGCTTGTTAGTCGCTAGTAAATCAGCCATTAAAGGGGAATGTTTGTTGCACAAGCTTTTCCGGCATATTTACACAAACACTGCACAGGAATATTTCAATATAAGGCATAACATTATTTTCATTTGCTAAGCGAACAGTATACATTACCACTTATCTTTATAAAAACAAATATTTTGTTCAAGTGTTCCCCTTCAAGTGGAAACACCTGCATGTCTCTCTGAATTAAGGGGGACTGGGAAAAGATGGTGGCAACACAGCATGAATGTAAGTTTGAAACAAAACCATAATTTACTCAGGAGATTTGAATACCCATTGTACACAATGTATTACATTTTTAATGAAACAAAAATCTCATTTTCAAGCCAGGGATTTCATCTACAGAAAGGCAGATGAATAGATTTTGTGCTTGGCTTGGTACCTTCCCATTACAATTGTCCAAGCCAGTCTAAACTGTAGTGTGGTGCAGGAAGAGAGGGAAGATCCAGAAAGGGTCACTTGCCTCATTTCCACCAGGTAACCTGTTCATGTGCACCAGCTGGCCTTGATCGTCCAGGACCAGTTCGGTATAAGTCAGCATGTCAGAAGGCAGAGGCGGTGTAGACAGAATTGCACATTCGTTCATGGAATCCCAGAGTTTAATCAGCGACTAGCAGGGAAAAAATTAAACTCGTGTTAAAATTATAGAGTCTTAATATTTTGGCTGCAATTCATTCTGAAGCAAAATCAAGACAGACATTTTTTCTACATCTATCTGGTCTTTAATTGCCCAACTTCCAGCATTTGGCTGATGATATTTATTAGATCTCATCTTACTTGAATCTTTAAACCGTGAACGAGGACTGCAGCCAAAGTAACATTATCTACAGTAATGGGATTTGATATATGACCCAAAAAGCAAGGTGCAGAGTTCACACTAGCACACACCAAGTGCAAGAGCAATGAAGCTTATTGTTTGTTCAGCAAGCTCATTCACTGGGGTCTCATCTATACTGGGCTTTGTTAATCTCCATTGGTGCAGCTCCATCATTAGTAGCAGAGAAGTTGCAGAGGTAACATGTGAGCTATTACCAAGTCAGTGCAGATTTACAGTGTGTACAGATATTTGCTCTCACAGGGGAAACTCTCCTGGAAGTGATTTACCACAGGCTGTTCCCAGGTTCTTTTTCTCTTACAGCAGACATTTTTACTCTGGGGAAAAAAAGCCTGAACATCTGTACACTCGTGGCTGCTGCTCTCCCAGGAGAAACCATGAGTGTACAGATGTTATGGCTTTTTCTCCCAGAGTAAAAATGGCTGCTCCAAGAGAAAAAGAACCTGGGAACAACCAGGGTTAAATCTCTTCCAAGAGAGTTTCTCCTGGGAGAGCAAATGTCTGCACATGCTGACAACACAAGCTGACTACAGGCAGTCTGAGTCAGCCAATCGGTGCTGCCCTATGCACTGTTGCCAGACAGACTAAGGGAGCCCGCCGAGCATATTGAGATATGTGCACAGGACCCCCCTTGGCTACAGTGTCATCACTGCAAGCTCTCCACTCTTCAAGGCTTCAACATTTGAATGTCTGTACACGTAGCTCTGGATAAGTATTTCTACCATGAGAACAAACCTGGGAGAATTCTTCCCAATCATTTGAATGTGTATGCGCAGTCTGTATGAAGCCTTATATGATACTGAGGTAAAAAAGCCTATGTTGCTTCCACACTACTGCTTTCACTGTTCCCTCTGCTCATAAAGCTACAGCAGTGAGGAATTAAAAGTTCTATGCTTCGCCACAGACTCTTCTGTAGACCAGCAAGAATTGCAAACACTGCTGGACCTTCAAGCTGCTGGGCTCTTCTGATGAGCAGAAGGGCTACCTGTTAACACGCTTTCCTCGTGTCAACCATAGAACAGCCCACAGAGGCCCGTCAATGAAGATTTACCTGCCGAAACATCTCAGGAATGTCATAGACATATGTTGTCCCTAAAGACTGTGCCTGGAACCTCTTGGACTGAAGGAGGTCTTTTGTCACATATGGGGTGTTGATCAGCATGCCATGAAGTGGTCCCTGTTTATCTCCGTATGCCTGGAACATAATCTGCAGAAGAAAACATTACCACTATAAAGATATGACATGACATCCATAAACCTAACTGGAAATGTCCCCACGGAATCCCTACTTTACTAGGTTTCCACCAGATTGTCCAGTTCGCTTGTGTTCTCCCAAAATATGACAACACCTGCAGATCTTATAATGACAAGGTTCATCATGACTTAGTTGTTTATGGAAACAAAGTTGGACCATTACTGTAGATCACTGACTTTTAATAATAACACAGTGGTAGGCAAAGGTGCACAGCCACTTCTCCATGGAAAGAAGACCATAATGTAGACTATTTCTTGTTCACCTGTACTTACTCTGACACTGTATGCCGATTGACTGCGATAGCTGAGAGCAATGAGGGGAACTTTATTATTTATGTAGTTGAATAGCACTGTACAGGAGCTAAATACCATTCATATTCCTCATGACTGATCACGGAAGCTAGTTCAAGACTTGCATATGTCATTCGGTTTGAAGTTTTGATATTACAAGTTTAAAAGATTCTTCCAGAGTAGTGACATGAGTTATCAGCTGCCATACTTCACAGTGCTATATATTCCACTCATCCAGGACTCTATAGGAAATGTATTTCCTCTGATGACAGTGAACTACAGTGAGTGCTGCTTAACTGGGACAACAGTGAACCAGCGATGCTTAAGGGTGCCACATTTGACTGGAGCCAAAGGATTAAATTGTTCTTAATGGAGTGGTTGTTTGGCTTGACACTCCCAGCCATAGTTCTTCAATTGAGAAGTTGATGGATAAAAAAAAAAAAAAGAGAGAGAGAAAGTAGTGGAATTCAAGAGAGACAGAATTCAATAAATGATGCTAGTTTTAGCAATAAAATATTATATTGACTTAAAACACCACCTTAAAGACTTTACAGGCGATATTTGAGAAAATAAAACAACCTGCTCTAAGAGAACTATTTAATCAGAAAGACAAAGGCTTATCATGATGCCCCAGCTAAGAAGCTTTGACTGTACTAGGAGCCCAATCCGACCGCTGCAGAAGCCTTTTTTGAATGATGCAAAGTGGAATCAGGCCTGACAGAAGGCAATGAGTCCAGGAGGCACAGCACAGGACTGGAAAACAGAAGACCCGGGTTCTGCCATGACCTATCTAAGTTTCCATACCACAATCCCTGCATGCAGCAGTGGTTTTTTAACTCTCCTAACAGAGTTCTCAAGATGCAAACCATAATGCTTTAATAAAATGGGGGGTTTTTTTTAGACTGAAGATGGTGGCACAGGCCAGTGATTTACTACCTGGAGTTTAACACCTTGAGACCTCCCATAAAGGAGAAATCTAAAAGATTTCTCATTAAACAAGAAATTGTGAGGAACAAATAGTTTTCAGAATCATTAGCACTGTGGGTTACCATCTGAGTTTTAAAAGCACAGACCAACTTGAAACTATTCTGAAAATTATATCGGAATCATCCCTCTTGTCCCTTGAATGCTTTGACTGAAATGTATTTAAGGCTATTCTGGGCAAAGAAAAAAAAAAAAAAAAAAATA